AGATTTTCTGAGAATGCCTTCATCCTGAAGAAGTTTTTACTGGACACAGAACTCCGGGTAGACCGAGTTTTACCTTAAGTACAGTAAAGATGCTGCTTCCCTGTTATTAGGCCTTGAATTTCTGATGGCATGTCAGCAATTGTTCCTACTGTCCACCTGTGTAAAACAGGTTTGTTTTCTTTCTCTCTGGTCTTTAGTAATTTGATTATGATGTGCCCAGGTATAGGTTTTTTGTTTTTCTGTGTGCATTTATCCTGCTTGGGGATCAGTTAGCTTCTTGAGTATGTAAATTATCTTTCACAAAGCCTGGAAATCCTTATCCTTTTTGCCTTATCTTCCTACCCCATTCTAAAGATACGTATTTTAGATTTTTTAAAATTTTATATTAGTTTGCATACAAAATTCATACATACTGTGTTTCATTCAAATACATTGTTTCATATGGTCATTCATATACACTGTGTTTTATACAACTAGTCACCACTGATCTATGCCCAGTTTTTTCAGGTCGTCACATTGGACCTTTCCTAATGCCTTCACCACCCCCTCATTTTAATTCCTCTGTTAGTTACCGTTCCACAGACATCTGAAAAATCTTCTCTCTGAAGAACAGATCATTTTTAGTGATTATCTTTAAGTTCACTGCATCTTCTATCACTTGTAATCTGTTAAGCCTATCCAGTGAATTATTTATTTCACATATACTTTTCAGTTCTACATTTTCCATTTGATTCTTCTTTTAATAGTTTCTACTGCTCAGCTGACATTTCCTTGTCTCATTATGGGCGTAAACAGCTTATAGTTACAGTAACTGCTTTAGAAGTCCTTTCTGTTAATCATGGTCAATCTCTAATTGCATATGGGTGGTCTTTCACTTTCTTCATAGGACTAGTGATTCTGAGATGTATGTGGGGCACTGTAGATTGTGTACAAGAGAGACTGGCATATATCTTGATTTCCTGAAAAGTGTCATTTTTTTTCTTTGTTGCAGGCAATAATTATGGCTGAACTCAAGATAAGAATAACATTTATAAACCATATGTTGGTTCCTCTTTTGTGGTTTTATGAATTTTCTCCTCAATTTCTAGTTGCAGCAGCAGTACCAAAACATATTCTCTAGTATTTAAGCTTGTAAGACTGTAGTTTTCTATACATAATGTGGTTTGAACACTTGTACCTCCCGTTTTACACAAAATTAAGGTCCATTCTAAAAAAAAAAGTCACACAAAACAAAATCAGTTTACTCATCAAATAAGGTTGCTTTCTTCCTTGTGTCAACTGCCCGCTAGTATCTGACTCACTCTCCAGTGCCTTCAGGTAGCTGTTTCTGCTATTCTGTCCAGAATTATTAATAGTTACTTCTGGAAGACTTGTTCTGATGAGCGTGGACTCATTCAATTTATTAATCATTAAAATACAAGCGTTAGGAATTGAACCTTCCTAATTTTATTCACTTTCCCTGAGTTTTGATTTGTGGTATTTTTACTTTCTAGTTTATGATTTTTAACATATTTTCTGTGGTCAAGTAGTTCGTTCTTTTTCTTTTTTTTTTTTTAATTGCTGTGTGCTGTCGAATCACCTCTCCTTCTCCAGTGGAGCATCTAGTGGATTCGAACTGCATGCCTTCAGGATTGCAGCACAGCCTTTTGCCCCTAGGCCACCAGACCTCACAGTCAAGTAGTTATTTCAAAGAATGCTCTTAAATTTCCAAGTAATTAGGACTGTTCATATTTCTAATAGAAATTTTTTAGTTTTTATTGTATTATGGTCAGAAAATGGGGCCTGTACTATTTCCATTTCTCTGAATTTTACTAAAGATTTTTAGTTGCTGAGTATTTGATAATCTTATCTATTTGAGAAGAAGAAATAGGAAGGGACAAAACATATTAAACTCAGTCATCATTTATGTTATGCTGACACAGAAAGTACAAAAAGGCATGTCAGTCATTTCTACACTCTTTTGGTGTACAGAAATTTTTGTTCAAACAAAACTTATTCACTTACACATAAAACAGATCAGAGAACAGTTACAGTTGTACTGGGAGTGGTGGGTGGAACAGTGGGAGGACAGAGCCTAGCTCAGTAGATTCTCTCCTTGCCTTTTCTATAAGTTAAATTTCCGAGAAAACTTTAGGGATCCAATGCTTCAAATTTAGAAAGGAAAAGTGAGAGTCTTTACATAAGAAGATTATTTCCTTGTAAAGCAGAAAAATTACATTACAGCAAATTAGTATCTGCTGCTCTGTACTATACACTCAGGCTGCATAGTTTCCCTGAGGTAGACAAATACAAGGTGTTTCTAGACCCTCTCCCATACACCCTTTATAGATCTGCAGCCGGCTTTCTCGTCTATTGAATACACATCATTCAAAATTTCTCCTAAGACACATTATCTGGTTCATGCATTTTAGGTTCTACTTTGCTGTTTCGAACTACAAAACACTACACAGATGCACAAGTTTTTCGAGTTTAAGTACAGGAAGAGCTTTTCTCTCCATAATTGAAATATTTCTACATTTTTGACTAAAGCACCTAGGATTTATAACTGTAAATACTTAAGTAAGGGAGCTCTTCTGCCCTAGTGGTAAGCAGCTGCACTGCAATCCCAAAGGCATGCGGTTCAAATCCACCAGACGTCTCTAGCATTCGGATAGGTAATCTTCTGTGCAATTTATTGCCTGTGAACACACTCTGAGTGGTCAGCTGAACTGATTTGTTGGCACACACTACCACATGCTTGTTTTTAAAGCACTGACAGCTCGTAACACAAAGGTGGTCTATAATCTCACTGAAACATCTTTCCTATGTGGTTTGCTATCAAATTAAGTTTCCTTTATTATATATGTTGTTGTTAAGTGCCGTCAAACTGCTTGATACTTACAGTGACCCTATGTACAAAAGCTCTGAACCCTGCTCTATCCTGAGTCAACATTTTTGTCCCTGATACACCTACCTCCATTACCACAGTCACTGAACAAATTCATCTCATTGAGGGTCTTCCTCTCTTGCACTGTCTCTTCACCCTCCCAAGCATGATGTTCCTCTCCAAGGACTGGTCACTCCTTGAAACATGTCCAAAGTATGTCAGACAAAGTTTCAGAATCATTGCCTCCAAGGAGCTGTCTGGCTCCACCCTCTCTCGGATGAACCTGTTTTTATTCCTGGCAGTTGATGGTATATAATATTCTTCTCCAGCACCACAGCTCAAAGGCATCAATTCTCCTTATTTCACCCCTAGTTACTGTCCAGCTTTCTGATTCATAACAAGTAATTGCGAAGACTATGGCTTGGAAAAGGCACACCTTAGTCTCCAGACTGGCATCATTGCTCTTCAGGACTCTGGAGAGGTCCCTGACAGCAGATTTCCCAATGCAATTTGTCTTTTGATTTCCTGGCTGCTGGTACCAAGAGTGTTGATCGTGGAGTCAGGCAAACTGAAAGCTGTTAACAACCTCAATCTCTTCATCATATACTATGATGCTGTCAATTGGCCCAGTGAATCTTTGTTTTCTTGATGTTCAGCTTCAATTCATATTTAAGGCTGCTTTAACCTTTAAATTGACAACTCACACATTTACTGTCATGATAGCTTCATCCTTCCCCAGAACTACACCTAGCATGCCAGGAAAAGCGGCTATACCTTTCCAACGAATATTAAATATGTTTTTGACATTTAGATTTTATGATTTATTTGGTATGTTTTAGTAGATTATTTTTTTAGTTTGAGAACATGAAAAAAGTACCCCCCTATAAATGAATGGTAATTTATGATAATTTGGCTAGTGAAAGATTTGACCAAATGTTCTACTTTCATATAGCGGGTGAAACTAATGTAGTAAAAAATGGACCTCTGCAGTGCAGCAATTATGAAAACTACCAATTTTGTCTCTCAATGAAAAGCTGGAGTCTCTCACTGATATTACAGGAAATAGAACTATAGAGCACCACAGGCAGAATAATGTATCCCCTCAAAGATGTCCTAATCTGGATTCTATGAATATATTATCTTACAGAACAAAAGAGAATTTGCAGACTTGATTAAAGGTAATGACTTCAGGATGAGGAGATTATCCTGGATTATCAGGGTGGGCTTAATGCAACCACTGGAAACCATTAAAAGCAGCAATTCTTTGCTGCTGTGGTCAGAGGGAAATGTGACTATGGGACCAAGAATGGTTCAGAGTGTTGTGAAGAACAGTGTGGCCTGCTGCCGTGGGCTTTCGATACAGAAGAGGCCATGAGCTAAGGAAGGGAGGGCGGCAGCCTCCTCAGGAGGCTGAAAGAGCAGAAAAAGGCATTTTCCTTCGTCTCCAGAAACAGAAACAGCTCGCTGATGATCCTCTAGTTTCAGTCTGGTAAGAATGGTACCAGATTGCTGATCTACAGAAGTATAAGATGATGAATTTGTGATTCTGCTGGCTAAGTTGGTGGTAATTTGTTAAGGCAACAACAAAGCACTTAATATACAGGCTTAGAATAAAAAAAAATTTTTACCTTGGTTTGTATACAAACTTTATATACATTGTGTTTTACACTATCCTTCACTGACAATGTGTTTCATACAATCATTCTCATTCATCATGTTTTACAAGGTTTAGAATACTTTTTAATATTTGATCTGCATCCTCACCTTATCCTTTTACCATCTTAGCCAGTGTTATGGTGTTTATTTACAGACTACATGATCTAGATACCCAACAAGTATCTAAAAACATTGAGCATTTTAAAATGAAGGATTTAAAAGACTTCAATTATCATACATAAAAGCAACTCTCCTAATATTTCCAGGAAACTGGGATTTTTACCTAAATTATTGTGCTCAGTATTATCGTTTTGAATCGGGTACCTAATTCTTTGTTTTGAAAACTGATGACAAATCCCAGCCCCTAAAGGTGACTTCAGTTTTAAACCCCTTAGAAGTTGGGAAAAGGATGTCCTTTGAGCAGATGAAGAACTCACCTGCACTTACTAGACCAGCTAACTTTCACAAAGATACTCACTTATTCAGGTCAATTTCATAAGTCTGCATGCGAGGCTTATCTCCAGCCTTATCTGGATCCCATCGGTAGATGGCAAATTTCTTGATTCTAGGAGCTGTGGCTGCAGCGGTCTGGGCTCCTCGGCAGGCCTGAAATTTTAAAAAAAAGTTCATGGAAGGAAACAAAACACATTGAAAATACAAGATACCTCCTTCTGTTTACCTGGCACCGAGAAATAAACTACAAAACTGGATAGAATCTACTCATTACTGACAAAAAGTGTATTTATCCAACAAACAACACTAAGTGTCTATCATAAATACCAGGCACGGGCTAGGGGCTAGTGATTCAGCACTTAATAAAATCTCTGCATCACAGAACTCACTTTGCAGTGAGCAAGTGAGAAATGAACTATTTATAATCTAGTGTGACAGTAACACTGATGGGAAAGCAGAGAGTGCCTGCAGGTACATGGCAGAGACTTAAAGTTAGCCTCACAAAATATTCTCAGGCTGAAGTCTGAGGAAGAGATTAAAGGGAAAGAGAAAAGGGTGCTTTTTGGCAGGCTGATGACAGTGGCAGGAAGCACAGTGCATCTGTAACGAACTGAGAGACGTGAAGCAAAAGGCACTTTTGAAGAATAGAAGAGGTGAGGAAGTCAGTATGGACTTAAAAGTTTTGATTTTATCCTCAACAGTAAGGAGAAGCTAAGAATTTAATTAGGAGTGAAATAATCATTTTTGTTTTTGAGTAAAATCTCAGTCTCACTGAAGGGAGAAAAAGGATCAGTCAGACTTGATCTGGAGTAATCACTTAAAAGCTATGACAGTTGTCAAAACAAGAGATGGAGTTTTTAATCCAAAACACGACAGAGAATATGGTTTGAGAATCTAAATGAGTTTAGGGACCTAAAAGCTGAGCCCTCCTTTCTGGAATGATCTTCCCAGCCTTTAGGGTCTGCCAATGGGCTTCATCTCGAGGGCTCCTTGGGTACCATCAGGGAATACTATGAGGTCAGCCTAAGATGTAAGAAGGTCAGGCTAAGCTGTGGGCCTCTGCTTTCAATCACAGCAGCTCTTCCGTTAGAATACATGTGAAAAAACGAAAAGAAAAGAATACATGTGAAAAAAGGTGCTACTATTGGCTTAAAAAAGAAAATTTTATATTTAAAAACAAACTTAAAGTCACTATTATTGCTAAGAATGGTATGAAATGCTTTAATTACTCCTCTGAACTTTCATTTTTTAAAAATTTTTTTTCATTATTATTTTAGTGTGTGTGCGTGTGTGTGTGTGTGTACCGTCAAATCAGATCTGACTGGTACAGGAGGAGATTGTCCCTCCTTTCCCGGCAGAGCATCTGGTGGATTTGAACCATGCGCCTCTAGGATTGCAGTGCAGCTTCTTGCCACTAGGCCACCAGAGCTCCCCTTGAATTTTCATTTTAAAGATGAGGAAAACAAACTGCAGAGATGAAATGAGCACTCGATGACTGAGAAGTGATGAATAGAGGTATTAGAATTTGAACTCATGTTTGTCTTATACTAGGTCCATGTTCCTAAATGCTATAATACCCTGTTTATCTGGGAATATTCTTTTATTTCTTCATGGTATAGTCTTCTCTTTAAGTAAGTCTTAAAACTCCTGGAGGGCATGGAACAAGCTGTACCTTACATCTCCCAGCAAACCTTGTCCAAGTGTCTACACAAAGCAGCTCAATCCAGTGGGAAAACACTGAAGGGGGCGGGGGAAGGAAATACTAAAGGAGCAGAAACTGAGTCTTAGACTATTGTAAACATGCAGTTTATTTTATAAGTACCTTAGAAATCTGGATAGTGCAAGTTACATCAAATAAAACAAACAGTTTGTGTAAATTTTATATACTTTTAATGACAAATCAGTGGCTTGGCTGCCCCACTTTTTAGTCCTTGAAGCCTTTTCCTGTTGAAAAGAAGAAGAAGAAGAGAGACCACACCAAGTCCTGCTCAGAGTCTACTGCAGGGGCGGAGAGAGGATAGCCATCTGACAGTTAAACATTAACCTTTCAGGTGGAACTCTATCTGAATATAGAAACATGCAGAATATGCCAGGACAGAGTATTCTTTTTTTTTTAAATTTTTTTTTTTTAATTTGTGTGTGGATCTGACAGGTACAGGAGGAGATTGCCCCTCCTCCTCCAGCAGAGCATCTGATGAATTTGAACCACTTACTTCTGGGATTGCAGTGACAACTTATTCTTGTAAAACCTGTTTAACCGATGAGAAGAAAGGCCATGGTAAAAATACCCACAATAAACTGAAAAGACATTAGCAAGGCCCTGGGTGCTGTAAATGGTTAAAAAGTTTGGCTGCTGAGAGGCTGGGGAGTTTGAATCTGTTTAGAAGCACCTTAGAAGAGAGGCCTGATAGTTTACTTCTGAAAAATGGGCCAGCAAAACCCCATGGAGCATAGTTTTCCTGACACAAGGGATTACCGTGAGCTGGGAATGACACCACAGAAGCTTCTGAAAATCAATACATGGAACAAAATGAAAGTGAAGGTAAAGATGAAAGCTGTGTTTGCCTTGTCACAAGCTGGCTAAGGAAATTAACACAAAGAAAGGAATTTCTACAAATCGGTATTTTTCACTGTTGTCAGCTGCTGTCATGTCAGCTGCCTCATGACGAGGAACCCCATTCTATAAAGGGGCAAGCAGGCAGCTGATGCCACCTTGTGGTATTTAAGAGGAAGCAAAGGAAGTGAAATGAGGAACCTTTACTGTTTTTAGAATTCTGTCATGTCAAGAAAGTTATAGAAATGGAATCGTCTAGTACATAACTTTTTGGTATCCATTTTCTCTGTATATCAACAGTTTTTAAAAACTTCACTGCCAAGTAGTACTCCAAGGGAGTTCCACAAATAAGTTGATTATTCTCAATTAAAAGAGGATAAATAAATCAGAAGAGCTAGATTCAAACACAGGTCATGGGACTCCAAAGGCCAACCATTTAAACCACCACAAAGGTGATAAAAATTCAAACAAAAAAGTTGCACACATAAAATGGTTTTTTCCAAACTGACCCAAGGAGCAGTGGTAGTTTCTCTATCTAGATGATAAGCAAGATATCAGGCAGTAACTGGCCTAGATATACATTTATACATGTACTTAATTATTTAATAAGTAACTGTAGAGTGCCTACCAGGTTCTAGGGAATATTCTAGGCCCTGGGGATCAAGTACAAATAAAGCAAATATCTCAACTTCCCAAAGAATTCACACAATAATTATGGATGACACAAGGAAAATCTACTGCATGTCCCGAGCGATAAGTGCAATGGAGAGGAGAAGGAAGGGGTACAGAGACTTTTTAATGGCGATGCTAGAGTTCTAAATGAAGGGACGGCCAGGGATGCACACTGCAAAAGTGACAGACGAGGAAAACCCTGAAGCAGGTGAAGAAGCAAGCTGTACAAGAGATGGTGAAGCTTTGTCCTTCACACTTTGGACATGTAGCTAGGTGAGGCTATTCCTTGGAAAGGAGAGGAAGATCCCCAGGGAATGGACTGACATGGTGACTTCAGCAATGGGCTCTAGTATGTCGGAGATGATAAGGATGGCACAGGATATGGCAGTGTTGAGGCTGGCCGCTCATCGGCTCTCTATGCCAAGAAGTTAATTCCAGCACACAGTGACTCTCTGTGACACTATGTCAGAGTGGAATGAGGGGATTGTTGTATAGCAGTGTGAGCATTTTCACGTTCTCATCCTCTGACGACGGGCCCTTGTGCGGAGCCTCACCTAAGAGCTTGAAACTGTCATCTAGTCTGCAATACACACCCCCTGGGGGAAAAATGGTTGAAGCTGATCACCCAAGAAAGTTCCTCATTGGAGGACTCAATACAGAAACAAATGAGAAAGCCCTGGAAGGTATATCTGGCAAATATGGATGAACTGTAGAAGTGCTCTTGATGAAAGTCTGAGAAGCCAACAAATCAAGAGGATTTGCTTTTGTCACTTTTGAAAAGCCTAGTGGATCCAAAGATGCAGCCAGAGATATAAAAGGAAATTTCCTGATGGTAAGGTCATCAAGGTGGAACAAGCCACTAAACCAGCATTTGAAAGTGGTAGGTGTGGACCCCCTCCACCTCCAAGAAGCAGAGGTCCTTCAAGAAGTCTTCGAGGAGTAATTGAGGGAACCAGGGGACTCCCTTCATGTGGGGGTCAACATGGATGATGGTGGCTGTTCTATGAATTTTAACATGAGTTCTTCCCAGGGACCACTGCCAGTGAAAAGGGGACCACCACCACAAAGTGGGGGGGCCTCCTCCTAAAAGATCAGCTCTGTCAGGACCAGCTAGAAGCAGCACTGCAATGGGTGGAAGAGCCCTTGTAGCACGTGGAAGAGACAATCATGGAGGTCCACCAAGAACAGAACCCTTGCCTTCTTGTAGAGATGTTTATTTGTCCCCCAGGGATGATGGATATTCTACTAATTATTAAAGCAGAGATTACCCAAGTTCTCGGGATACAAGAGATGATGCACCACCACCAAGAGGTTATACGTCTGGTGCTTATAGTCATTACAGTCAATGCGATGACTATCCATCCAGAGGTCATAGTGATAAAGATGGCCATGGTGGTCAGATGCTCTGCTGGAGAAGGAGGGACAATCTCCTTCTGTACCAGTCAGTTCCAATTTGATGGTGTACACACGTACACACACACACACACACACACACCCAATAAAAAATTAAAAAAGAAAAAAAAGCAGCATAAACATAGGCTATACACATGGATTTCACCTGATCATATACACAGGAATCATCAGATTGATTACATATGTGGAGGGAATTGTTGGAGAAGTTCAATATCAGCAGTGAAAACTAGGCCAGGTGCTGATTGTGGAACAAACCATCAACTACTCATATGCAAGTTAGAATTAAAGCTAATGAAGGTCAGATCATATCCAGAGGAATAAAAATTTTTTTTTTGAAAAGGAAACATTTTTTTTTTTTTTAGGAATAAAAATTTGATCTTGAGTCTATCCACTCCGAATTTAAAAACCAACTCAGGAACAGGTTTTTTTTTTTATCCCCAGGAACAGGTTTGAGACCTTGAACACTAATGAATGAAGACCAGATGAGCTGTAGGAAGCCATCAAGGATATTGTC